TGCTGTCTTCATTCCTGGGAATGAGGTGGTGATTGTAGAGAAGAGCAGAATCCCATGGCTTAGCAAGAACCCAGGCAGGAAGTGTACACTCAGTTCTCTTGATTCATCAGGGACCAGCTGTCTCAGGAAGAGCCAATTTTTCTTGGTTCCACCTTGGATTTTATCCACCAGGATTTTATTTTTATTTTAAGAATAAAAGTATTAACCCCATTAAGAACAAAGTGGTTTGGGGATTGCTTTCACAGGCTGCAACTCTGTAAGCACTTAAGCTGATCCAAGGGTTCAGCTGTGTCCAGGTCTGGAACCTGAGGTCTTTTTGGAGGCTAGAGGAGCAATACTCCTTCCCCTCACCCCAGCAGATTTCCATATTGTAGGCGACCCTAAAGATCCATTGGATTCAACCATTCTTGCCCCAGGACAGAAGGACAGGAGATGCTGAGCCAGGTAGCTGTTTCAGAACTATTGCTGAAGTGCCCAAGCAGCTGCATATGAAGCTACTCTGGAGGAGCAGGAAGTGCCTTGGATACACCTGCCTGCAAGCCAGAAAGGGGTGGAGCCTCAAGATCAGCGGTCAGCAACCTTTTTCAGCCTCAGACCATGTGGTGGGCCGGACTATATTTTTTTTTAAAAAATGAACGAATTCCTATGCCCCACAAATAACCCAGAGATGCATTTTAAATAAAAGGACACATTGTACTCATGTAAAAACACGCTGATTCCCGGACCGTCCGCGGGCCGGATTGAGAAGGTGATTGGGCCACATCCGGCCCCCAGGCTTTAGGTTGCCTACCCCTGCTCAAGATCCTTAATAAAGTCACAGTCTGAGCTGCTGCATTGTAAAAAGATCTGCTCCATGCTCCAGCCTTCCTGAACCAGGAAAGTGAACAGCTACTTAAATCCCCTTGGAAACCTGCCTGATCACATAGCTTGTTTCCCTCACATACAGTTTGAAAGAGATGATGAATGAGCAGTGCTTGGGAGTACTATGTCTTAATTATAATACATGGCAGCATATTGCATGTAATGAAATTTGATATCCATTGGAGGGCTGAGCTATCTTCATATATGATGGTTCATATATGCTAGCTGGCTGTCTTGTTTCTCTAATAATGATCCACCTTGTACCCAGCCATCACTGGTTGAACCAGCAGATCTTCTGTAAGTATGGTGATCATAGCCATACCTTCAGCAGAGAGTATTCTTTGATAACTTAAACCTGTATGCACATCTCTCAGTATCTCATCGCTTGATGACATGCAGTTGAGGGTGTGGACTCACGCCACTGAAAATTGTTGTGCTTCATTTGAAGTGAAATTCAAGGTATGTCTGCGTTAATTTGTCATGTCTCATCCACACATTCTCACCACCACTGAGTGATATGAACCCAGTGAACCAAATGATATGAATGTGCAAACCAAACCCTAGTAGTTCCAACGCTGCATTTCTTCATGTGATTCCATACATAGGGACAGTCAGAAGGATTTGCATGGCAGAATAAAGCATCAATCCTTGTCAGGCAGATGTTGGGCAGAAGATGTATGGGTTTGCAAATATGCATGTATTTATCTAATCATACATATTCGTTACATATGTCATTAATTTGATATAAAGGCCTGTGTAATCATTTCAGAACCATTGAAAATTCATGGCTGCCATTTTAATCTAGGTATGAGTCATTAACTTACTCTTATCTTTCCATATTATTTTTTGGAGGGGATTTTAGCAGTTGGAGCTAAGGATGAATTTGCCACATTTGAATGAAGAAAACCAATATTGCCTGTCATACACCAGATTTTACAATGGCTCTCATCTGCTTTCCGTCTACAAGTGTCACATTCATGACTGAATGCAGCACTTTTAGCCTCACTTTGTGGGGAGGGAACCATGGGTTTTACCAATAGTAATTATCATTATGAGCCATTATGTTGTATTAATCTTTCCAAATTAAATACATAGTTAATTAGCAAATGCTTGAACTCTTCTTAATCTCATGATCATGGGTGGCTGGTGTGTTTGTTTTGTTTTTGTTACTTTTTTGCCAAGTTTGCATGTGCTCTGCTGGCTTTGTGTTTTTAATTACAAATGCGATACTTACTGCCAGCTCACTTGCCTATGCTAGTAGTCGGCAAATTAAAACTTTGGACCTGGTTCGATGGGCAGGTTTCAGTTTAGAAATTTAAAGTTGCTGTCGGACCATTGTTAATGCAGTGTTTGCATTTGTGCTGAAGTGGATAATCTCTCTTTTTTGTCATTTCCCCTTCTCATACTCTTCTCAAAGTGCACCCTTCTCTTGATGTGCTTAAGAAGCAGTCTCCCCTTAGACCAGTGGCCACCTTCGGTGATGTGTTTCTGCCACTAGTTCAAGCCATTCTTGCATTTCCATGCATTTCCCACCTTTGATCAACCAGATAGATTTTTGTTATTTGTTCTTGGCCTACTGTATGGTATGTGTATGTACAATTCCCATTATAGCTGGCCATTCGCCATGCTTGCTGAGGCTGGTGGGAATTGTAGTTCAGCAACATCTGGAGGGCAAAAGGTTCCCTACACTTAAGGAAACATTTGACTTCCTGTGGGAGGAAAGAAAATTGTGAAGCTCAGATGACATATGGTGGCAGTGTACCCATATGAGCCTGTCCCGATAGCATCTGGAAGGCAACAGGAGCAGGAACAGCATGTGAGTGAGGGGAATTGAACACTTCCCAACATATCTCACCACAATCTGTCCCCAAACTTCTTTTTCCAGTCCAGTACCAATAGTGGATCTCTCTAGGAGGAGGTGGGTGGTAGCTGTGGTGAGGGTACAGCTGCCTTGGCTTTTAAAATTGGCACCCTGCTATGCGCTTCATTTTATGCACTATTGTGGCAGACATGAGCTGAAATGGATGGGTCTCCTGCTGTATTCTGAGGCTTGATAGGGCTGCGGAAGGACAGTTTTCGGAAGGAGAGCATCTCTGTGGGGACCTCTTAATGTACAATTGTTGTGAACTTTCTTGCTTAAAGCCAATTTCTCACGAGCCTCTTTGAACATAGCAGCCAGCATTTCCATCCCTTCGATGGTGAGATATGCCATTTGGCTAGACAAGCATGGCTTCCTAACGCTGGTAAGGCAGACTCTTAAAAAAGAAGCACCTATAGAAGAAACACAAACTAGGTAAGTAGATCGTAGAGATAAGCTGCTCTGCTGCCGTGCATAGCAAGTTGCTCCCGGGAGATCTTTACACAGTCTGCGTAGAACGCTAGCTAAAGCGTGTTTCCCCCTGATTTAAAAACAATGGAAGACACAAAGTTCCACTGCAGATGAAAAAAACCCTGGAGTATGTTTTAATTCATATTTGTTCTAAGTATCAAAGAGCATGTTGTTGAATACATTGTACCACCCTTCCGTTTTATAACAAAACACCTCATTGCTTCCGGCAGACTTTTGGGAAACTGCATAGTGTATTTTTACAGCATGCCACCTCTGTACGAGAGTCTTCGCGCTGTGATGTTTTGGCTAACAAATGCGACTTCAATTGTTCATCGAATCTATCTGTACACGCATCGGGCTCATGTTGAGCTACCAGAAAGTCACAGGAAATAAACATACAGCTACAGTAAGATCAAAGCTCCTAGGCACTACGCATGCGCCAGCAGTGACAGCTTATGAAAGTTCCTATTTTCTTTCAGCAAAATCATTTGTGTATTTTCTTTGTAAGGACTGTGAAAAAAATTCACTGTTATTTACTTCAGAGACAGAAAGAGAGAGCCCATATTTGCTTGATAGCACCAGTGTGTGTGTGTGTGGTTAGCTAAGAATATTTTATGTGAACCACGTCCTTTTAATGCATGTGCGATGCTAGCATGCAGACCTTATATTTGCTCTGACCAAGGTACCCGTTATCTGATCCTTTCTATTTTAAAAGAAATATATATCTTGAGAGAGATACAGTCAGTGACAACAACATGCAGAAAGCAGGCTGAGGTAAACTGTCATATAACAGTGGTAACCACAGTCACACCTGGTAAGCCCAGAAGAAGAAGAAAAGTCTGCAAACTGTTAACGTAGGATATGAGGTTACAGCAAAGCTGAGCAGGATTGGTGGTGTTTAACGGCTTTTAAATACCCAGACCAGGTTAACAATATACAAGAGTGTGTGTGTGTGTGTGTGTGTGTGTGTGTGTTTTAAGTAAAACATTCCAGAGGGGTAGTTGTGTGTGCTTTCTTTAGGGAAAACAGCCAGAAGGGCATAATTCGTTACTGACTTAAATTGGCTTTAACATTTTAGCAGGAAGCCTTGGAAACTGTAGTACATCAAGGTAGGAATGGAAAGATCAGCCTATTTCCAGCCTGTGTCACTTTTGGATGCATTTTTATTCACAAATCCATCCTATTTTTGGAGTAAGCTGTGATAAAAAAAATCCATACAAAAGAACAGTCTTTAAATACATTCTTAAATAAATATTTGTCACAAAATATTCATTTAAATAGTATTTTTAATTGATGTATGTATTTCTATTATTCTATGTATTTCTATTATGTATTCTATGTATTTCTATTATGTATTGAACTTGTGTATTTTATCCTAAAATACACAAGTTCAACACATTCTGATGCATTTTTATTAGCTGAAGTGTTTATCAGAAGATGTGGAGAAGTGAGGCAACCAAAGGAGGATGTTCTGAGCCATATGTTAGCCTAGGAGGTGTGAATTAGGTTAGTACCCAAGCAAAATTCCCCTCTGCATGTACAATCCCTCTGTGTCTCAAGCAGATGACTCTGATCATCCTGCTGCCTGGGAACCATAGTTAAAGGTATGGATAGGGGACCTGACTGTTTCCTAAGTTCTTAAGGTGTCACAAAACACTTTGGACTTTGTTGAGTCCAGTGTGGGCCTGTGTGTAGGGATCTTCATATAGGGTAGAAGAGGGCCCTGTCCCACCTTGCAGTGCATGTTTGGGCACCCAACACACTGGGTTGTGAGGAAGGAAAGGGAGACCCATGTGTACCTCCTCATATCTCCTTCAGCTCAGTCAGTAGAGCATGAGACTCCTAATCTCAGGGTTGTGAGTTCAAGTCCCACATTGGGCAAAAATAAATAAACCATGCATTGCAGGGTGGTTGAACTAGATGAGCTCATGGTCCCTTCCAACTCCATGATTCTGTGATTATGCAAGCTCAGATTTTGTGTTCCTTGACTGAATCAAGGCCAGGGGGGCTGGTCGGGGATATGAGAGGCATGCATAGGTCCAACATGCTAAGGGCCAGTTTGTACATGAGGGGGTGGAAAGCCACCTCTTTCATGCCATATGGGGATCCCTCCAGACACAGGCACTGTGCCCACCATGAACCAGATTGAGCCATGTTACTGGCCCAGAGCCAACATTTTAAATGGACTTTTCACATTTCGTATCTTGCCTTTCCTCCAGGGCACTTAGGTACTTCTGCTGTCTGGGCTAAAACCAGAATGCCACAGATCTGTGTGCTGCTATTCCATGTGGTGGTCTGCTGGGGCACCATAAGAGTATAGTATCATACTCTTATGTTGCATGATAACATAATACAATAGGTGTCCATAGAATTACAGTCCAATTCTATCTGTGTCTGCTACTCAGAAACTGCAGAGAGTCTTCGGACAACTTAAACCACAGAATAGCTGTGTTTGCTTGTACTGCAGCAAAAAGAACCGAGATCATCAGGTGCATGAAACACAACCACCGTAAGCAGTGGCATCAGAGGGAAATGAAATGTGAAAAGTACCAATAGTGACAACTCAAACAAGATTCTTTGGCAGTTGTTACCCTGAATGAAGTACAATCAAGTTCAATAGTGCTTACTCTTAGGGAAGTTCTGATAGGATTGTATCCATAGATTCTACTCCCAGGGTAGACAATGTGGTACAATTTGGATGATGTTGGACTCCAAATCCCATCATCATTGACCATTGGCTATGTTAGTTGGGGCTGATGGGAGTCAAAATCCAACAACATTTGGAGGACACCACATTGGCTATCCCCAGTCTTCCCAGGTGATGCACAATTTCCAGTTCCCAGATGATGCAAAATTTCCAGTTAACAGAGTTAAATGAGAGTTGATGCCTTCACTGAGCCATCAACTTGTTAAGCCTCAAACTCTTGCCTAGAGATCCACACCCTGTTCCTTTTGCCAAATCTTCACAGACATCCTCCTACGACACACATACAACTCACCCCAACATTTAGAAGTCTCTGACTTAACATACTGAAAACCATCAGAGTAGCTATGATCAAACCAAATGAACCACTTTAAAGACTCATTGCTTGAAGTGAGAGTGTGTTTAACTTTGGCTGGGTCACTCTGGTCGAGGTTTCTACCATCTGTGCCATTTAAAAGGAAAAAGGAAATGTGCATAATTTTTTTGAATTGCGTCAAAATAATCAAATTGAAGCCATGTTCTTAGAAATTAAAAAAGCCTTAAAAACACCAGGTAACTAACAAACAAATTTTCTCTGCTGTTACTAAAAAGTTAATAGCGGAAATCTTAACTGTGGGTTAAAATGCACTTGTGGAACCATTTTTGGAAAAGTCCTTACAGTCAGAACGTACTTGGGTGAAGTACTTGAAACCCTGTGTCAGTTGTGGCCATTTCACACATTGGTTAGGGGCTGGAGAGGCCCTTTGTCAGTTTTATTAACCTGCTGCATTCTGTGCTTGTTCTTTTAGTTCCTTTTTTCCATTAACGTTGAACTGCCAATCTGTCTGTAATCTATCCACACCCTGTCAGTTACAAGGGTATGGGAAAGTTTGCATCAAAAGGTGCTTATGCTGCCGTTCTAATTAAAACATACATCATGAAGATGCTGTTCTCTTTTTTCTCTAAATTATGGACAGGAAATGCACAGTTAAGGTTTTAAACTGTCATCTTCCCACATGTTAGTCAACCTGCTAGCTTTTCTCTGCTATAAATCCCCTGTAACCACTTTGACTTTACAGTCTGGGATGTACAGCCATCATTCAGATTGTAAGTAATTAATATGCCCAACTCGTTAAAACTACAACTCCAGGCTTTTAAGTTTGCAGATATGCCCTTTGTTCTGCATGTTTTGACTGCTCTCAAGGAATGATTGGGAAGAAATCCCTAAATGTTCTCAGAGCAAGTCTCACCTAGCTCCACAGTTTTGCAGATTTGAGCCATGGTCATATGACATTTCAATAGGAGATGAGCTGTCCTATGCGAAGCACTGCTGCACGTTTTACTTAGTAGGGCTGTTCCCAGGTACCTGCTAAGGCCACCAGGGAGCCCACTGTTGACCCTAGAGCTTCCTGGCAAATAAATCAACAGTTTTCTCAAAAAGCTTGCTTTTCAGAAGTACCGTTAGGACTTAATCCTAGGTCAGTGTCTAGGATTGCAAGCTAAAGCTGCAATTCTAAGCACACTTACAAGGGAGTAAGCCCTGTGGCTCAGTGGGGCTTACTTCTGATCAAACATTACTCTGAATAAATATGTTAGGGGTTTTCATGCTAACAGTCTATTTCCACACACGTACACAAACAGTGTGTGCGCGCACACGCACACACACACACTTTGTTCTCCCCGTAGGCCTTAGAACATATAGCAGTTCTATACTTGTTTAAGTGTCATGGCTTCCCCCAGAGAATCCTGGGAATTGGACTGGGAGGATGGTTTGAGAGTTCTAGCCGCTCTAGACATAACTGCAAGTCCTACAGTTATCTGGGACAAGGAAATAGCAAAACTCCAGTCCTGTGCACATTTTCTAGCAAGTGAGCCCTGTCCAATGCACTGAGGCTTTTTTGTAAACATGCCTAGGATTGAGTTGCATCATTGGGGTGTTCCAAGTCAACATAGGCTGAGTAATGAAACCTGTAATGGGTTGGCATTCAATATATTGTTGCATGCTCATACCTCGCAGAAAAAAGTTGTGGAGAAGCCAGAAAGTTCTCTCAGTGGCGGCCAGCTACAAACCCTGTGTTTGTAGGGCTTATGTGGAGTCAGGCCAGTGATCCATCTAGCTAAGGATTGTCTACTCTGACTGGCAGCAGCTCTCCAAGGGGACTTTCCCAGCCCTACTTTGATTTACCTGGGATTGAAGCTGGAACCTGCTCCCCTGCAGTTATAATAACTCTCACTATTGGCTTGTGGTGTAGGGGGAGTTTAGGTTCCCTTACTGAAGGTCAATAATAATAAGGAAGCCTAAACTCCCCTTACAGCAGTGGTGTCCAAACTTTTTTCAAAGAGGGCCAGATTTGATGAAGTGAAGGGCCATGGGGGCCAACCAAAGTTGCTGAGCTTTTTTTAGGATTGAAGTGTGCTGGACTTTGGACATGCCTGCCCTACAGTGATGGGGGCACTTCTTTCCAGCTGTTTGATCCTTTCATCCTGAAATGGCAGCTTCTTCAAACCTGAGACTTCCTTGTGTTTTGGCAATGGTGTGTGGACCCTGATTGACAGCTTTGCACACTACTCACTATAAGTAATAACCTTGACAGCTAGGAGGCTAGAAACAATTTTCTTAGAATGAACCTGGTCCTTCAACCTAGTTCTGACTAGAGGAGAGTCTTCAGGAAATTATGTGTCTGCAGGATGAAGTTGTCCCATTTCAAATGGTGCTGTCCCATGCAACAGAACTCTACATCAAGTATCATATTGTCACATGCCTTAAGCAAATTTACTTGTAGTGAAGTGGGGCTCTACACCTGTCATTCCCAAAAGATCAAGCCTTCTGAGATTCAAGTGGTGCGCTGCTCCAGGCTAGACGCAGTAAGACACCATGCTACCTAGAGTGTTGCCATATCTCCTCTCAAGCAAGTTTTCACAACAAAACCTTTAGAAGAAATTAATTTGGTAGGAGTGGATATGATCTTTATACTTTGATGCCTCATTAGTAAGCTATCTCAATCAACTGATGAAATATAGCTGTTTCTGTCTTTCGGCTTTTGCGAACTGGGTTGGTATGGAGATACTAGATTGTATTCAATTAAGTTCTACTCAGAGTAGAAATAAATAGAACCCTTAGTCATATTGGTTGATTTCATTGGGTCTACTCTGAGCATTGTAGTGTTACATTGGTCACACAAAATATTTCAGGTTACATCTCATTACATTTTCTTTATTCTAACAAGCTCAAATAAGAGAATAAGGTTAAAATGTACAGATTTTTCTTTTCATTTGTTAAAAGGTGGGGATATCTGTTTTTGTGACCAACATAACACTCAACCATCCCATGTAGTGTAGTAGTTAGAGAGGGCTTCCTCAAACTCGGCCCTCCAGATGTTTTTGGCCTACAACTCCCATGATCCTTAGCTAGCAGGACCCAGTGGTCAGAGATGATGGGAATTGTAGTCTCAAAACATCTGGAGGGACGAGTTTGCCTAAGCCTAAGTTAGAGTGTCAGACTAGTTGCTGGAAGACTAGGGTTCAAAGACCACCCAGCCATGAAACTCACTTCTCAACCTCACAGGGTTGTTGTATATGTAAAATGGGGAGGGATATGCCACCTTGAGCTTCTTGGAGGAAAGGTGGGATATAATTATAATAAAATAATAAAATAATAAATAATATGTTTTATTGTCCTAAGCTCATGCCTACAACTCCCATGATCCCTAGCTAGCAGGACCAGTGGTCAGGGATGATGAGAATTGTAGTCTCAAAACATCTGGAGGGCCAAGTTTGAGGAAGCCTGATCTAAAGGACTGTCACATGGAAGATGGAACTAGCTTGTTTTCTCCTGTTATGGCTGGTGGGATCTGAGCCAATGGAGTCAAGTAACAAGAAAGGAAATTCTGACTAAACACCAGGAAGAATAGTGAGAGCTGTTTAGCAGTGGAACAGACTCCCTCAGGAGGTTGTGGACTCTCCTTCACTGGAGGCTTTTAAGCAGAGGTTGGATGACTATCTGTCATAGATGCTTTAGTTGAGATTCCTACATTGCGAGGGTTGGACTAGATGACCCTCGGGGTCTCTTCCATTTCTACATTTCTATGATAACAGAGAATGCTATGATTCAGCAGGAGATTTCTTTTCAGATAAACTTTAACAATTACTAGAACTGGCTGCTCCCAGACTTTGGTACTCCTTTCCTACAGAAGTTCTCTGA